AATAGGAGGAGGAGGAGGAGGAGGAGGGGGAGGAGGAGGTGGAGAAAGAGGAGGATTAGGAGGAGGAGGAGGAGGAGGAGGAGGAGGAGGAGGAGAAGGAGTAGGAGGAGGAGGAGCAGGAGGAGGAGGGCAAGCAAAAGGGCCAGAGGTCTCTTGGATGCCTCTCGGAGCCTCTTGGGATATCGCTTCGGCGCTTCTTGGAGGCCTCTTGGAACGTCTTTGTGGTCTCTTGGGCGTCTTGTGTCTCGGGGGGGCCGCTTGGGGTCCTCTTGGGGGCCTCTTGGGGACCTCCTGGGGGCCTCTGGGGGCCTCTTGGGGCCATCTTGGGGCCTCTTGGGGCCTCCTGGGCGCTTCTTGGGGCCATCTTGGAGGACATCGATCACAGAAGGGGGCTCCCTTAATTTCCTTCTCCCTTCGGGAGCCCCCCAAGCCGCCTTTTTTGAGCGTTCTTTGGGCGCTCTTGGAGCGCTCTTGGATGCTCTTGGGGCCGTCTTGGGGCTCCCTTGCGCCCCTTCTTAGGGCTCTTTTGGAGCCGTCTTGAGGCCTCGGATGGCCATCGGAAGCCAAAAGGCGGGAAAGCCAGATACATTGATTTTCCTAAGGTTTTGGACGGATGTTGGCCTCTTCGGGGCCTCCTGGGGGAGCTCTTTGGCCACTTGGAGCCGTCTTGGAGCGGTCTTAGGGGCCTCTTGGAGCATCGTGGGAGCCATCTTCGGATATCTTGAGCCATCCTGGAGGTCATCTTGGGCTCTCCCAGGTGCTCCTGGAGTGATCTTAAGCAGTGCCCCCCCAAGGAGGCCAACATGTGGCCAAAACCAAAGTACATTCAATGATGTTAGCATTCTCGCCGAGGCATCGTGGAGCGTCTTGGGTGCCTCTTGGGGGTCTCCTGGGAGCCTCTTGGGGGCATCCTGGGGGCCTATTCGGGGCCTCTTGGGACCTCCTGGCCACCTCTTGGGGCCCTCTTAGGTCACCCTTGCGAGCCTTGGGAGCTCTCGTGGGGCCATCTCGGAGGAGATCGATCAAACGAGGGGGGGTCCCTAATTAGCGCCGCCCCCCCAAGAGGCCAACATGGGGCCAAAGCCCTAGTAAAACCAATGATTTTGGCTCCCTCGCCGTGGCCGTTTTGGACGCCCTGACCGCTCGCGGGGCGCCCTGTCCAGGTCCAGGGGAGGGGGTATATTTATATATATATATATATATATATATACATATATATATATATATAAATATATGTATATATATATAGGGCGGCAGGTCTGCAATTGGCCGGCTCATAGGAAGTATGGATCAACCCATCCCCGAAAGGGAAGAAAGGGAGGTGGCAGAGGAAACGCTCTAGACCACCAGCGCCTAGAGGGCTGATGGGACTACTCCCCCTCCTCCCCCCCCTTGTCGCATACCCCCCATCCCAAGTTTTCTCCACTTTGTTCCCTTCTTCCTTCTTCTCCTTCTTCCCCTTCTTCTTCCCTTCTCCTCCCCCCCTCGTTTCCACCTTCCTCCACGCTGACCCCTTCCTCCCTCCTTCCCTCCTGGTTGGGCGGACCTCTGGCGGCGGCGAAATGCTCCCCGAGATCCCCGAAATTCTCCTGGACGCAGGCCGGGGGGACACTGAAGGCCGCGCGTACGGCGCAAGCAAATTTGCTGACTGTCTGGCCAGCTGGATGAGCATCCTGAACATGCTATCGAGCCAGCCTGGGGCGAAGAGGGTGTTGCTTCACGTCGCAACCATTGTCGACGTCGAGAGCTGACGTCCACATCAGGTTAGGCAACCTTCCTCTGCAGCCTAAGACGGATAGCGAAGCCGGACGATTCTGAATGCGCTCCTGCTCAGAAACATGCGCCCGTGATTCATCGAATGCGCTTGTATACAGGCTCCTTGCTTGATCAACGGAGAACGTGGAGAAGGACGCGGATGGCATTCTGATGATGAGAAGGACGATGGGAATGGTGAGTGTGGGGGGGGGGGGTAGGTGGAAAATGGCAGAGACAAAGGGGTAAGAGATGAGTTGTTGGGAGAATGAGGTCTAGGAGGAGGAGGAAGAGGAGGAGGATTAGGATGAAGGGGAAGGAGGAAGAGGATGTGGCATTATGCGCGTAGGAGCATGAAGAGGCGGCCTCTCCGCCATGGGGAGGTGGATGAAGAGGGATCCGAGGGTGGTGGAGAGGATGAGGTGGAATGTGGGACGAGGTGGCAGCCTCTACGTCGAGAAAATGGATTCTGTGACGTTGGCCGTGTTGGCCGACCGGTGCCTCAAGGAGAAGGTGCGGCTTCCGCTTCTGAGCCAGGAGTTCCAAAAGGAGGAGGAGGAGGAGGAGGAGGAGGAGGAGGAAGGGGGAGGATGAAGGAGGAGGAGGAGGAGGAGGAGGAGGAGGAGGAGGAGGAGAGCCTCCTCCCTCGTTCCACTCTGCTCTCCATTGTTCTCCTCCCCTTCCCCCCTTCCTCATCCCCCTCCGCGCGCTTCCGCGCGCGCCTTTCTTCTGGACGCGCGCTACTGCGCGCGCGGGAAGGCGGGACGGATGATGACGATGGGGCGCGGACACCAGTGCGTCTTGCAAGAATGGCGCTGGGCACGCCGTTTCTGAGAAACCAGACCATCCACGAGCGGCGCGGGGTGCTGGAGTCGAGATGTCCTTGGGCCCACGTCGCGAAAGAATCGAGCCGTCGGATGTCTGGGGAGGATGTGGACGGTACCTCTCCCGGGGACGCCTGTCCCGAGGCGACTGGAGGGTCGAACGCCCCACGCGTTGTCGACAACCCATGTCCAGGTCGACATGACGGGAACTGGCCGTACGGCAGTTTCGCGTTCGAGGTTGAACGCCGCCAGTGGCCCATAATCGGCCACTTTGGAAAGATCGGGCGATCGATCCGTCGCCGATCGTTCAAGATTGAACGATCCACGCTGTGCCAGCAACCAACGCCAGGGCCGTCACAGCAGGAATCTGCCGCTGGTTTGCTCCGTCGCGGAGCGGCGGCCGCGTGTGCGCGGACCGTTGCAGACTGGCGCCCGGGCGTCCTTCCTGGGGACCCCGCAGCCGGGGGCCCGCAAGTTCGGCCAGAGTCTCTGCGCGGTTTCGGGAGCCACAGCCCGGGGGGGGCTCCAAACGGTGTGGTGACCACGCCGCGTGGTGAGTCAGTGGGGATATGCGGGGTCACCGCGCGGCTCCGGGACCCGAGTCGCTCTCCGAGGAGGCCTCGAGCGGCTGGGGCCTGCGAGGTCCGAAGCCGTGCGGACCGCGTGGTGAGGTCGTCGGGGGCTCCGAGGTCGCCGCGCGGTGCCCTCGGCCGTGCCGCAGGCCTCGAGCTCGCTCGGCAGCCGTAGCCGCCTCGACACGCCGAGGGGCGCTCGGGCCCGCGGCGGCGGAGGGGGAGTCGCAGAGGTTGGGCGCCCCACCGCCGCGCTCGCGCAGGGTGTGGGCTCCCGCGTGCGCGCACGCGGGGGGGAGGGGATGGGGGGAGGAGGAGGGAGGAGGAAGGGGAGAGAAGGGGGGGAGGAGGAGGGGTGATGATGATGCTGCTGCTGATGATGATGACGACGATGATGATAATGATGATGCTGACGACGATGATAGTAATGATGCTGATGCTGATGCTGATGATGATAATAATGACGATGACGATGATGATCAGGATGCTGATGCTGATGACGCTGATGATCAGGATGGTGATGATGGTGCTGGTGGTGATGATGGTGATGATGATGCCGATGGTGATGGTAATGGACATGGGATGATGATGCTGATGACGATACTGATGATGCTGGTTGCTGTGATGGTGGTGGTGATGGTGATGGTGATGGTGATTGTGGTGATGGTTCTGGTGGTTATGATGATGATGGTGGTAGTGGTGATGATGATGATCCTGTTTGTGATGGTGATTCTGATGAGGATGCTGATAGTGATGGTGATGATGATTATGATGATGACGGTGACGACGACGAGATGAGGAGGAGGTTGATGATGATGATTGTGATGGCGATGCTGATGCTGCTGATGATCGTGATGGTAGTGTTGTGGTGGTGGTGATGATGATTATGATGCTTATGATGGCAATGATGGTGACGCATATGACGATACATATTATGGTGATGATGATGATGATGATGATGATGATGATGATGATGATGATGATGATGATGGCGATGATGGTGCTGATGATGCTGATGATGATGATGCTGGTGATTATTATGATGTGATGGTTTTTGTGATGTGGACGATTCTGACGATGATGCGGATGATTATGTCCAGGAGGATGATCTGGATGATGAGGATGATGATGATGAGGATGAGCATGAGGATGAGGCTGAGGACGAGGATGAGGATCACGATTAGGAGGATGATGATGACGATGATGATGATGATGATGATGATGATGATGGTTTTGGTTGTGATGATGAGGATGATGGTGATCATGGTGAAGCTGTTGCTGATGATGGCGATGGCAGTGGTTGTGGTGGTTGTGATGATGATTATGACGCTGGTGACGACAGTGATGGTGACGCTGATGACAACTAATGATGATGCTGATGATGGTGAGGAAAAGTAGGAAGACGATTGTGATCGTGATGAGGATGCGGATGATGAGGATGATGAGGATGAGAAGGAGGATGAGGATGAACAGGAGGAGGAGGAGGAGGAGGGAGGGAGCGAGGGAGAGAGGGTGGGGGGGGGGGGGAATGAGGAACAGGAGGAGTTGGTGGAGGGCCGGCGCCGCCCGATCGCACAGGGGTCGAGAGCCTTGAGACGGGGGTCAATGCAAACGGGGGTCAGCCAGGGCACCAGATCCTGCAGGATCCTGCGAAGACCCCCCCTGGCTGACCCGGGTTAGCGAGCCGCTCGTGGCCGCGAGGCGGCCGCGCATATTGGCTGACCCGGGTTTGCGAAGACCTGCGTTGCAGTTTTTTTTTCCTGCACTGCAGTTTTTGGTTTCCTGCTGACCCGGGTCTGGATTGACCCGGGTCAGAAGATCCCCGAAGGGGGTGGGCGCACACGCTTGGCAGGTGTGGAACCCGGAGATCTGGACGAAGTTCGCGTGGCGCGCGCAGCAGCTCGTCGCACGGACGCAGGAATGGGGGAGGGTGCGCCAGTTGCTTCCCCTCGCTGTTTGTCCTCTTCCCTCCTGCCTCTTCGTTACTCCCCATCTCCTTCCTTCGCTCTTTATACTCTTCCCTCTCCTCCCCTCCTCCCTCTCCTCCCCTCTTCCCTCCTGCCTCTGCTTCATACTCTTTATACTATTCCCTCCCCCTCTCCTTCCTCCGCGTCCTGCCTCGTCGTTAACTTTCCCTCCCCTGCTGGGCCGCACTCGCCGACAATGCTGCTGCTGCTGATGCTGCTGACGATGCTGCTGCTGATGATGATAATGATGATGTCGCTGTTGCTGCTGCAGCTGCTGATGTTGATCATGAAAATGATGATGTCGATTATGACGATGAGGATGACGACGACGACGACGATGATGATGCTGCTGATGATGATGATGATGATGATAATGCTGACGATGATGATGCTGTTGATGATGCTGTTGATGATGGTGGTGGTGATGATGGTGGTGATGATTATGCTGATGCTGATGCTGATGATGATGATGGGAATGATGGGGATAGTGACGACGAAGATGAGGAGGAGGAGGTGAGGACGAGGAGTTGGTGGAGGAGGAGGAGGAGCAGGAGCAGGAGGACAGAGCTGCCGACAGTGCAGGCAGCCTGGCTGGACTGGATGGCAGGACCTCTGCATAGGAGTGTGATCTCACAGGAATAGACAGATACATACACAAATATATGCATACAGGTCGAAGACGCCTACAGTCGGGGCCCTGAAGAAGGAACCCTTTTGGTTGGGGAGGGGCTCCGCGTTCCTTAAGAGTTTCACAGGGTGTCTTATTTAGGGTTCCTTATTTATGGTTCCTTATTCAGGGTTCATGGAAACAGGGGGCCTCGTTCCTTATTTAGGGTTCCTTAGTTCAACGCCCCGACTGTACGGCGAATCACCGCCGCCCGCTGCCTTTTTGGAAGCGCCTATGTGGCCGAACGTTGAGGCCAGACCCGCCAAGCTGTGGGACCATGTGTTCCCCGAATCGGTTTGGAAAGCCTTCGGGGAACACGTGGCATCTTGAAGGTCATCTTGGCCGTCTGGAGGCCATTTGACCCTTTCGGGCCTTCTTGGAGGACGTCTTGGAGGGCTCTTGGGCCGTCTTGGAGGCCATCTTGAGCGTCGTGGAGGCCCCTTGGGCCGTTTCGGGAGCCCCTTGGGGCCGTCTTGGGCCTCTTGGGCGGTCTTTGGTGTCTCTTGGGCCGTCTCGGGCCGTCGGAAGGCCGAACAAAAGCACATGCGACAATCCTTCAAACACTCAGGGGAAATCAAGGATTCCGGCCTTTTCGGGCCTTCAAGGAGGCCCTCTTGGAGGCCTCTCGGGCCGTCTTGGGCCATCTTAGGGCCATCTTCGGCCGTCTTGGTGGGCTCCTGGCCCGTCTGACGCCGTCGGAAGCCGTTTGGGGGGCCTCTCTTGGCCGACGTGCGGCCCTCTTGCGGTGCTCAGGGCCGTCTTTGAGGCCATTTTGGGCGTCTTCAGGGCCTCCTGGGCCGTCTTGGGGGCTTCTTGGGGCCGTCTTGGGGGCCTCTTGGGCCGTTCTGGGGCCATCTTGGAGGCGCCTTGGGCGATCTTTGGGCGCTCTTGGGCCGTCTCGGTCCGTCGGAAGGCGGAAAGAAGCACACATGTCAAAATCCTTCAAACACCTCAGTACAATCAGTGTTGTTTGCCTTTTCTGGCCTTCCTGGAGGCCCTCTTGGAGGCCTCTTGGGCCGTCTTGGGCCAGCTTCGATCCAACTTCGGCCATCCTGGTGGGTTCCTGGCACGTCTGACGCCGTCGGGAGCCGTTTTGGGGGCCTCTCTGAATCGACTTGGGGTCCTCTTGGGGCGCTTCGGGGCCGTCTTGGAGGCCATCTTGGGCGTCTTGGAGATCTCTTGGGCCGTCTTGGGGCCCTCCTGGGGCCGTCTTGGAGGCCTCTTGGGCCGTCGTGGGGCCCTCTTGGAGGCCTCGTGGGCGACCTTGGGGCGACCTCGGGGGGCCTCTTGGGTCGTCTCGGGCCGTCGGAAAGACGAAAAGGCGCAAATACCAGAACCCTTCAACAACCTAAGGACAATCAATGATTTTGGCCTCTTCGGGCCTTCCTGGAGGACTTCTTGGAGGCCTCTTGGGCCGTCTTGGAGTCCTCTTGGGAGCCTCTTGGGCCGTTTTGGGCCATCTTGAGGCCATCTTAGGCCGTCTTGGGTGCATCTTGGGCCGTCTTGGAGGCACCTTGGAGGCCACCTTAGCCGTCTTGGAGGCGTCTGGGAGGCCATCTTGGGCCGTCTTGGGGTGATTTTGAAGACCTCTTGTGCCGCCTTGGGGCGCTCTTGGAGGCCTCTTGAGCTGTCTTGGAGCGTCGGAAAGCCGAAACGACGAGATAAACTAAATCCTTCCAGAACAATGGTAACATGAACAATGTTGGGCCTCTCGGGGCCTTCTTGGAGGACCTCTTGGAGGCCTCTTGGGCCGTCTTGGAGGCGTCGTGGGCGAACTTGAGATATCTTGGACCCTCTTGGGCCGTCTTGGAGGCCGTCTTGGACCATCTTGGGCGGAATTGGAGGTCATCCTGGACAATCGTGGAGGCCATCTTGGGCCAACGTGGCCATCTTGGAGGCCACCTTGAGTCGTCTTGAACGAACATTTGGGAATTGGGCGATGGCTTGGGCATGCTATGGGTCTTGCGGGGGCCCCGGCGGGACGGGCCGAAGCCACAGGGGGAGTTCTTTTGGAAAGAGAGCCAAAACCAAAACCGAGAGGGTCCGGCACGCCAGGCACCCCTGCGATGAATCGACAGGGGGCGGCGGATCTAGTGGCATTCGACCCATCCCGCCACCGTACCTGGCTTGTGGATTAGAGGCCTCTTGAATGCTCGCTTGGATATCGTGCGAGGCCTCTCGGGGCCTCTTGGGGGCAGTCTTGATGCCTCTTGGGGGCCGTTTTGGGGGCTCCTGAGGGTTCTTTTGGGGCCTTTTGGGGGTCTCGTGGGGCCTCTAGGGGGCCTCTGGGGGGTGCTTGGGCGCCTCTTGGGGCCTCCTGGGGGCCTCTTGGAGTGGAATGCTTGAATTGTCGGTTCGCGTTTCCCCTCTTCGGCCCATCTTGGGGCCGTCCTCTTGGACGATCTTGGACGCCTGTTAGGCCGTTTTGGGATCCTCTGGAACCGTTTTGGTGCTCCCTTGGGAGCCGCTTGGGCCGCCTTGGGGCGGTCTTAGGGGCCTCTGGGGCCATCTTGGAGCGTCGGAGACCGAAAGCGCGAGAACGCGAAGCAAATCGAACACCATATGGAACATCAATGATGTGTGCCTCTCTGGGCCCTCTTGGGGGTCCTCTTGGAGCGCCCTTGGGGCTTCTTTGGTGCATTTTGGGCCGTCTTGAGGCCATTTCGGGCGTCTTGGAGCGATCTTGGGCAGTCTTGGAGGCCTCTTGGGCGCTTCTTGGGCCCCTCTGGGCCCGTCTTGGGGCCCCCTGGCCTCTGGACAAGTCAAGCGAGGTAGATTAGGAACGTGCGGGAACGCGCAGGACATTTTAGAGTCTGAGACCCCAGCCCCTAGAATACTAGAATCCCCCAGTCCTGCGCACAGAGAACTGAGAACACATGAGAGCCTGAGGGTAATTCCACTTCGGGCCTCGAGGCAAGGTGGCGGATAACGAGAGATAAGCAGAGAGAAAGTATCAAGAGAGAACAAGAGAGAGAGAGAGGGAGAGGGATAGAACGAGAGAGAGAGAGAGCGATAGACATATTGAGAGACAGGTACACATACATGTATGTATGTATAGAGAGGGAGGGAGAGAGAGAGAGAGAGAGAGACACACACATGCCACAACACAACACAACACAGCACAGCACAGCACAACACAACACAACACAACACAACACCACACAACACAACTACAACTACAACACAACACAAGCACCACAACACACCACACCACAACACAACACAACACAACACAACACAACACAATACACCACACCACACCACACCACAACACAACACAACACTGCACAGCACAACACAACATAATACACACACATACCCATACGACCACCCTTGGGTGATAAGGAGGTTCGGGGGGGGAGGAATCAACGTCTCACTCGATCGGTCTCACTATCGATCTCACTATCGGTCTCGCTCGATCGATCTCACTCGATCGATCTCACAATCGATCTCACTCGATCTATTTCATTCGATCGATCTCACAATCGGTCTGACTATCGATCTCACAATCGGTCTCACTATCGATCTCACTATCGATCTCACAATCGATCTCACATTCGGTCCCACTATCGATCCCACTATCGATATCACAATCGATATCACAATCAACGTCATCATTATGATCAACAGCATCGTCATCAATGTCATTAACATCATCATCACCATCGGGACACCATCATCATCATCACCTCCTCACCATCATCATCATCAACATCATCATCATCACCATCATCATTGTCATCATCATCATCATCATCATCATCATCGGGACAACATCATCGTCACCATCATCATCAACATCATCATCGGGGCACCATCATCAGCATCATCATCATCAGCATCGGAACACGACCACGAACATCATCATCATCATCTCATCATTCTTATGAACAGCATCATAATCATCATCATCATCATCGGGACACCATCATCACATCATCACCAGCATCATCATCATCAGCATCGGGACACCATCATCATCCTCACCATTATCATCATCACCAGCATCATCATCATCATCATCATCGGAACACCATCATCATCAACATCAGCATCATCATCACCATTGGGTCACCATCATCAAAGTCTCCATCATCACCTCATCATCGTCCGCATCATCAACATCATCATCATCGGGGCACCATCACCGTCAGTATCATCACCATCAACATCATCATCATCATCATCATCATCACTGGGACACCATCATCATCGGGTCACCATCATCATCAACAGCATCATCATCAACCTCATCACCATCATCGGAACACCATCATCATCGCC